TGATTACGAATTTGATATCCTTTTTTTCAAAAACAAAATGGCGGATCCAATATGGAGGACATTTTTTTTAACAAATATTCTGATATCGCTTAAATTTGACAACGTGTGCTTTTTGAGGTCGCTAATTACGAATTTTATATTTATTTTTTGAAAAACAAAATGGCGGACATTATGGAAGACATTTTTTTTTTCCAAAAAAATGTTCTGATATCGCTAAAATTTAGCAACCTGTGTTTTATGAGGTAGCTGATAACAAATTTGATATCCATTATTCCAAAACAAAGTGGCTTATCAAATATGGCCGACATTTTTCAAATAAATTTAGACTTTTTTTTGGTTTATGAAAGGATTAAGGATTAGAAAACCCATTGAATTTAAGATGGATAAATAAAATAACGATGCAAAATAAACATTTATTCAATAATTTAAATTATATTTATTCAACGCAATAAAAAACTATTTTTTTTTATAAATTATTATGTGTACAAAATTTGCACACATAACTCACAAATTAAGAGTTATTTTGAAGGTTTCACTTTCAACTACTTGAGATTTGGTAGTAAAAGTAAAAAATAGGAAATTTGTAAATATATAATTCCAATATTCGCTTTAAGAAAATTGATATCACAATCTTTAACGCTTTGAAATTTAAAAAAAGATGATCCCTGAATCTTGCATTTACATTTGAAAATTTAAAAAATTTAAATTTATACATTTATTTATTTTGATTTTGTGTTATAAATACATAATATGAATATTATTTGAATGTTATAATTGACAATTTTGTATACTTTAATATATAAATATTTAATTGAAATTGTCTCTATTTTTTAATGTAAAACATTTAATTTGTAAAATGTCCAACTACTGATTTCTGAATTTTTTGATAAAACACAAAATCTGATATGGAGTTTATCTAGAGTATAAATCTAAAATAAAAAAACGTTATACAATACTCATTGCAATAGTTTATTGCATTAAAAATAGTAATTTGATTAAAAAACATAAATTAATCAAACAGTTTTTAAAAGTTTAGAAAGATTAATAGAAAAAATTCTAAATATTTTTTATTTATAACTACCATACATACAAATTATCAATACGGTTTTATAACATTTTATATATTAAACCTGAGATATAAATATTAAACCTGAGACACCCTGTATATTTTAATATAATTTAATATAATTTTTATCAAAATATTCATTATAAAATAAATAATACTAAGAAAAAAAAAGACCACCACTTCTCAAAAAAAACTTGTTTAATATTTCCAAGAACCACTAATAATTCTCAGAAGTATTTTGAAAAATAAATATGTTTTTATTTTGCTATAGGCTGTAACTTATTTAAATCGTTTGGCAAAACATTTCTTTTAATACATTAAATTTTATAACAATTTCATTAATTATTCCTGATAAAATAAATTCCCTGATATTTCTCGGTTTTCCAGAAAGTAGCCACCCTATGTTATGCACTAAAAGAAAAACGCGCGGCTCTACAAAATGTAATGCTACAGCCAAAACGCCAGAAATCCGCAAGAAATTTTTGTCGATTTATATTTGTTATATCAATATTTCAACTTGAAATTTTACAAAAGCATAAGATCTCGGTTGATGATAACTATTTCAATGCTTTTTATAGGACGAATCGATAAATGTCCATATTATACAGTTGCTTATTCAATGTCATTTTTATATCTCATAAAATATCTTAATTTAGGATTTACAAGTGTGAGATTATTTTACATACCTTTAGGACCACCCTCCATCACACCGATTTGGAAACTGACACCGCGATAATTTGTTTGCAGTGAATTACTCCTGTAGTTATTTTAACACATAAGGCGCGTCGAAATCCTTACTCTGGCGGAGCTTAATTGTAACTGACCTACAGATGCGAGTACCGAAGCTATCTAATTTTCCCTGTAGTTTAATACGTAGAATAGGTCCATTTACCATTTTACATACACAAACATCACAATTTTTCATTAAATTTTTCGGCTTTTGGCCAGCTTTTTTTGATTTTGGACCACTGTGCGACGGCCCAGCATAACTACGTTAGTCTCTTTGTCTCCGTTTCAAATCCTATTTGCCTTTTTTATAGATCTCCAAGCATCTTGTTATTTATTAGTTTAGGGCTGCTTTTATGATGTGCTTTAGGTTCTTTTTTTGTTCTTTTTTTTTTTGGCATTTTTACTCAGGCTTATATTAATTTTGTAAAATAAACTGAATCAGAATGTTTTAGTAAAAAATATCTTAGTGGTAACGTCACAAGTGTCAAAATTCTTGGCTTTCTAAAGGGTACCATTTTCCCTGTTATTTTATACCTTAAAATAACTTCAAAAAGTTATGTACTATCCTCCACACCACACGTTCCTTATTCAAATGTCAAAGTGGGCATTTTGGGAGAGACAGTTAAAGGCGTTAGAGTTAAAATGATAAAATAAAACAAATACGAATCATGGCAATGGTAATGTTTTTGGCTTTATTGAAAAAATAATTGTATGCCATTTGTATTTAAATATTATTTCGGGCATATCAGCGCCGCGTCTGGCTGTACACAATCTGTAAGGCCCATTCTCACCCAATTTTTTGGTCAATTGGGCCGTATATATCTGTGGATGGTATACTAATTTTTCATTTTACAAGAAAAATGTGTTCATTATAATAGTTTTTGCTTTTTTCTAAACGGCTGAATTAGTTCTCACCGTTTCAAATTTCCTTTCCGTTCCAGAGAAACATAAAAAAATAAGTCGATTTAGTTAATTTATTAAGTTTTTAATACAATTCAAAAATTAAACTACTAATAAGTTTTACTCGATCCATTCACCACCTTCTCGAACGCAGTTCCCAACTTTTCGGATTTTCTGGATTTCGGATTTAGCGGTAAAGACGTCACAGCATCTCTGATTCTCTTCTTCAAACTTTCTACATTCGGAGAAAGGCGCCAAAGGTAAAAATCTGCAATAGTCAACTTGGCCATAAAACAGGACCATTTCGGGCGATCCAATTCCCTCCAAATTGCTGATTCAACTATTCGAGCATAATGGGCAGGACAACCATCTTGTTGAAGTAACACCTAGCACGATAATTAAACGGTAGATAGTGCAACCTTTCATTTAGAAAATGTAACATATCTAAATATGTATGCTGATTAACCGTATTAAAAAAAATGGTCCAATTATACCATAAGAAATTGCACACCATAGGTTAACTTTAGCCTAATATTGTCGCTTACTCATATGTACCTACCTCACATGCTAAGATGAGGCTTCATCTGAGAATATAATATCTCGATAAAAGTATAGATTATCCATGATTTGGACACCCATCCACAAGAAGAAATCCAAACGTTTTGCAATTGCTGCAATGATTATTTTTTGACTTTTCTAAAAGCCAATAGAAAACTTCAATTTCAGTAATGTGTGTAGGTTTAATCCAATTACAAGATTATTAGGTCGTAAATATTATCTACATGAATTTATTTTTGCCGTAATTTTATGATCTTTTAGATGATAGATATCTGTCATCAGTATTTTAAAATGAACAGCAAAAGGGTTAGTTCAACATCTGAGGAAGAAATTATCGCTCACATAAATTAATTTGGAAACAATTTCAAACGTTTTGTAGTGCAAAAGGATACGTCAAAAAATAATCTTTCCAATACCAACATTTCTCAAACTTGTTGTCATTCGGCAATAAACACTCGAGCCCTAGGGGCTCTCGTGGCTATTGCCAGACAACACGTTTTCGAAATATCCGTCAAATTATTTTCAATTTATTTTCACTCTCTTGCGATATTACTGTTAAAAATTTAATAAACAAAAGTCGTGTTAACTGTTGCCATGAAAACGAAAAGTAATTTTTGGGACTTAAACAAATGTTGAACTAAATCGACCTATTTTTTTAAATAAAAAATCCCAAACTCCAGGAGGCCAGAAAAGATTAATAGGCCGATTTTCTGTTATATCATATGTCTAATTAAACATTTATCATGCCCGCGTCCCATTGATAAATGGTTCGTTTTTTAATTTCTTTTTCCTAAATCATATCTAAACACAAATGGCATAAAAATATCTTTTCAATAAAGTCAAAACCATGGCAATTTCAAGGACTTTTATTTCTTAATAAAAAAACATCCTTTTTATTCAGTCAAAAATTATTATATTGTTAACGAGCGTGGAATCATTACTCCAGATGATAAAAGTCATTGAAGGACTAACTGCGATTTCACGCGAGGCAAACACTATTTTTTTCTGTCGAGTGGTGCTAATTATTAATTAATTTTTAGAAAATTAAAAATGCTCACTTTCGCTTAAAAATACACAATTTGGGTACCCGCAAAAAAACTATATAAAATTATATAAATCTAACGTTTACATTCAAAGTCAATCACACGGTAGCGTCGTCATGGTAGCGGGAGGGAATGGAATGAAAATATATACAGGGAAGGAATAAAATTTACAGCGGGAGAAATTAATGAATTATTAACCACTTGACAAAAAAGTAAAATTTTTAATAAAACATAAAATAATTAAAGTATGAAGAAGATAATTCTTCTTTCACGGATTTGTCCCACACATGCTTTTTCTAAATATTTTGGAAATGCAAATTCTGAACAAGTTTGTCTACCCAATAGAAAACCCTTCAAGAAAACGAACCTTATATAAGGTTTAAATATATTTTTATATATTTAGACTGCATGAAACGGATTTGCATTTTGATTTTTTTTCTTAAAATTTTTTTGAAAAATTATAAATTTTTATTTGTTAAGTAGTTGCGTTTTATATTTTTAACATATCAGCGAACAAATTAATGTTTTTTATCCATATTTATTCCGTTTCAAGGCATATTTGCTTTCCATTTGTTTAAAGTTTTTTATTTTAAGAGCTAGGCCAAACATTATTTGGCCAACACTGAAATTGTATGTAATAATGCACATACTAAAAATATTAATATATTCGTCAAACTCACTTAATATCTTTTTAATGTTTTCAGAAACCCCAGTTCAAGCAGCTTGGTGCTATCGGAAACGGGTTCTTTGGACAGAGTTAAGCCGGCATATGAGAGAAGGAAAAAAAATCAGGCCAATGAAGATGGCGCTGTATCTGGAAGAGTCGAGACAACCAGAGTAAATCCGGACGTTCTAATTGAAGAAATTCTGAAGAACACAAATTTAGAACCCAACGATGACACGGCAGAAAGTAAGTAATATTATTTTACAGTATATAAATATATAGGGTTTTAGGGTAAGATTTTTTAACAAAAATATTACTTGAAATTTTTGTTTGTCTATTTGATTTCTACATGCTGTTAAAAAAGCGCCAACTTAAACAATATCGCATAGCGCACCCAAATTACCCTAGTTGTTGGTCAACCTGTGGCAAACACTAATTTGATTTAGTCGACCAGTGTATTTTACTTTAATATTATTTTTTATTTTTTAGCATCTGGTTTAAAATTGTTTATAGCAAGTGACGGGACAGCGGCTTTGGGCAACCCGAGTGGTGTGCAAGTATTCAAACAAGTTGTTATGGACGATAGGTAGCCCTAATGGTATTTTAGAAAATATATAATTGATAATGGAATATTGATTGTTATAGAAACCAAAATGTTCTGTAGCTTTGTTTTAAATTTAGCCTCCCCAAAAATACTATAAAACCAGCATGTTTTAATTTTAAATAATACCTGCAATAAACTTGAATTACAGATTTTTGTATGTATCTTATAAATATACTTTTTATTTATATAGAAAGTACGAGTTTTTGCTACAGTATATTTTATATATCATTTATATAAATTCGCGAAATAATATTGAAAACCTTTACATAGTGTTGCCAATTTTTGTGATAAAATAATTAGTGCAAATACACATCACAAATAATAAAGTGATGTTAATATAAAATAGTGTATTTATTGTAAATTATTTCTTTGTATAAGAGTTACTTTATTTATTTAGTTAAAATTTAGGTTTTCCGTTCTACGTTATAAGTTTTATTGTGTATATATCGATTACAATAAATTTATAAAAATTATGATTTTGTTTTCTTAAAAATTTAGCGTCTCCATACGAACGAGAAAGTTTCTACGGCTAGCCTTGTAAAACACCCACAAATGGCTAGGAAGGCAAATATACTTTTCCCAAGACCGCTATGTAAGTCACATTTTGTATTGCGCCGTTGCTAACAAAAGCTAATCTTCATTTGCAGAAAATCAGATTGGTAAAAAGTAAAGGTAAAACCACGTGACAGTTCTCAGATGTCAGGTAAAATGTCAAAAAATGTCCTTTAAATTCTGAAAAAACAACTTTGTATTTGTAGTACTGTAACGTATTTTTTACTAATAAATAATAATAAAATAACGCACACGCCGGCTAGTTGTCAGTTTGACTTCGTGAGCTAAATCGTGTGTTGGTATTGGTTACTAAAAATTTAAGTTTTATTAAAAGATGTTTACTTAAATGGGCGCCAAATATTTCAAATTAAACTATGTATTAAACAAGTAAACGAAATATTAATTTTTACTTGAAAAAAATATATGTAATAGATGTTAAATAGAAAATTTTATAAATATTATTTAGTTTCTGAAATAAAACAAAAAGATGATAAAATAAAAGAACCAGTTTTTACACACAGTTTTTTAATACGCGGACAACAAAACAAATAAAATCTACTTATAATTGTATAGCACAGTGAAAAGAAAACAACTGTTATAAATGCTGATATTTAGGTAAGCTTGTAAAACTATCTATAACAAAATTAAGTAAAATACTATACCCCTTTTAGCATACACTGGAAGAAATAATAATAATGATTGATTTACACAATTAATAAAATTGGCAACAACAAAATAATGGAAAACTGCAGTTTACCTTTTACAATTATATAAAATCAGTAAGTAGTATTTCCTTATTTTAGATAGGCGATGTTCCTAAGGCCTGTTGTTTTCTAGGTTGCTTCGGTTTAGTCGCTGAACCTTCAGGATGTTTCACAAGTAGATGACGATGTACAACGGTAACACAAAGGACAATATATTCTTCACAATTTAACGGATTACTGTGTAACTTGAAAAACTTCTCCAATTTCCACAAAAGAAATTAATACAAGATATTTCAAGAATTATCCTTGTTCTACTTCTTCAAAATTTATGTTAAAGATGATATGATAATAAAGTGAAGTTAATTAACTTTTAAAAGTTGTACCCATAAAAGGTGTACTCAAATAAAGGTGTACTCAAAAAAGGTGGCAATTGTTCTTAAAATAAAGATTTGCCTTATTCTTTATAATAATAGAATTAAATAAATTTTTATTTGGCTTGAAACACAACCGACTTCTTCAAAGTATCGAATAGAAAAGAACGTGGCTAGATCTTAAAAAAATTAGTAATTTTCATTTAGAACCAAATTTGTTTAGAGGATTTTAGCTTTAACTATAGGCATTACCAATATTTTAATTAATGTAAATAAAAAAAATAATGTGTATTTAAATTTAAATATAATTTAGATTTTAATTTATTTTTGATTTTCAGCCAGCTTCAATTGTCGAAGAAAAATAATAAAAAATATTCTTGAAATTAAATTATGAAGAATAATTACATAACTTTTAAACAATGGTTATTTAATAAATGGAGATTAAACACAAAAAAACATAAACAAACGCAAATTGCAAATGACAGCACTTGCAAGAAAACTATCACCTATTCCTAGAATCTGCTAGGAAAACGAAAAGAAACTTAAACATATAAATATAGGTAAGTTCTATTTTATAATACAACTAATACTTTGCAAGTACATTACTATTTGTTTTCAGGATTCATAGAAAATACATGAAGGTCATGTGGAGGTTATGGCTGGAAATATTGGACAAAATTTAAATAACTAAAAGTGATATTATACAGTATGGAGCAGAATTAAAATAAATTATGAAACTAACTCATTTTATTGTTTACCTTTGCATTTTAACACAGTATAAGTATGCAGATGTTTATTACTAATATTTTCTGTAAGCATAAATATGACTAAACTCACAATTCCAATAAAAAAATTTGTAACGGCACTTTTGCCCGTTACAGTACAAAAAGCATTTTTTAAGTTTATGCTAATTTATATGCTTTAATTTTCTTTTATTTGCGAACGTCTGCATTCATTTGTAAACATCTACTTTAATTCGCAAATTTCTGCTTCATCCGATTTCACCTGCAAACATCTGCTTTTATCCTCGAAGATCTGCTTTTATCCGCGAACGTCTGCTTTAAGCTTAATTTTCATGTATCCGTTTGTCCGTCAGTCCGTTCATCCGGGAGCGCTCTTATTGGTCCAATTATAATTCGAAAATTATGACATTTTATCGGTCCGTCAAGTTTCAACTTCGTACGTCTGACAGAGAAAGGTTAAATAATTTTAACTCATCCGTCACTAAACATCTGTTTTTGACGCCTAACGTTATTTTAAGATAATTTATTTTCAAATATTTTTATATTTTTTCAATAAGATTGTAAAACGAAAATATTACGTTCGTTATGTGAATAATGTTTTACTGTTAAGTTGTTATTTAATAAGAATAACGAAAAAAAAGAAAGGACAAACAAAAAAAAATTAAAACTAGAACTAAAAGGACCTGCTTTTTTAAAACTATACATTTTAATGTATATTAGGGCTAGTATATTCTTTTTATAAGGTATATTTATTTACCTACCTTTAAATGTATTAGACAGCTAACTGTTACAATTGTTGACATAATTGTAACTATGACAATTAAGCATTAGGTAAATTTAGTAAGTGAATATACTGACACTTAATTTCTATTTGTCGCAAAATCAATCCGTTAAACGTCATTAAAAAACGTATGCATGAAAATTAGAACATTTCTTATCGGACGATTTTATTGAAAAACTGACATACGGATGACGGACAAACGGATACATGAAAATTAAGCTTTAATCCGCAAACATCTGCTTAATTCGCAAACATAGGCTCTTATCCGCAAACATCTGTTTTAGTCCAGTTTCACCTGCGAACATCTGCCTTCATCTGCAAACATCTACCTTCATCTGCAAACATCTACGTTAATCCGCAAAAGTCTGATTCATTCGATTTTACCTGCAAACATCTGCTTTTATCCGCGAAGATCTGCTTTTTATCTGCGAACGTCTGCTTTAATCCGTAAACATCTGCTTTTATCCGCAAACCTCTGCTTTCGTCCGATTTCACCTGCAAACATCTGCTTTTAATTGCAAACCTCTGCTTTCACCCCCGTTCGGTTTTATCCGTGATTGCCTGCATTTCCTTCGTCCATTTCGGTCTTGTTTTGTCTGCAAACGTCTATATTCGCGCTTTTCGTTTTACTTACGTCTTTTTGGGTATAGTTTAGTTTAATTTACCTGCTGTGTCAAATTTTACTGAGGTTTATAAACCTAGTTAGTTATAACTAGCCGTTCACGGCACAAAACTTTAAAATAAATTATTTGAATAAAACAACCTGTAAAAGAAATAACTTTATTGAACTTGGTAAAATTTTTTATTTGGTAAAATTACATTTCATATGTAACTGGAGAAGAAGCCTATTGGCTGGGAATTCGCGCATGCCTGCCCACGCATCGGCATGTTAATGTTAATGTTAATTTCAAATAAAAAACATATTACATTAAAAATGTTATTTTACATAAAAAATATAAATGAGTTACACGTCAATTATGCTATTACATTTTACATGTAAAATAATAATGAAATGGAATATTTTAGTTATCAACAAGGCATCAAAATAACCAATCTTCATTACCGGAAATTTACATGATTTTTTTTTTCAGTGTATGTTTGTAATTACAAAGCTTTTAACAGCTTTTTGATGTACTTTGCCACTAATTTTTGGGGTCTAACTTGCCATTCGTTCATCACTTCTTTTGAAATATCAACCTAATCAAAAAAATATAATTAAATTATTTAACCACCAAATACAGTTATAAATAATATTGAACAGTAGGGTGGAGCGAAAAAATTGTTTTTTTTTTAATTTTAGGTTGCCTAGGTATATACGGAATAGTTTGCTTTTGGTCAAATGTGTTAGGTAATGAACTTTTTAAGTTTGTACCATAATTGTATCATAATTTTCCAAAAAGTTGCTTAATTATTTTTAACCTTTTTTTTCAATTTTAACCTAAAGCTAATTTCAGCTTGTGGGCGAAGTGCTATTTCGCCCACTAGTGGCGCGAGCGAGTCACGCGGGTGAAACTCGAAAGTAAAAAGGTAGGTAGCGCTCAGGTAAATCAGGTTAGAAAGCCGCAGGTATGTCACGCGGGTAAAACTCGCGAGTAAGACGCACGAATAATTCGCACAGGTTAATTTTGCTTGTAAGTGGCGCGGGTAAATTGAGCATAAAAAAACGTGTACCTATGTAAGTTAGATGCGCGGGTAAATCGCGCAATTAGGACGCGCGGGTAAGTGAGTTCCATCTATCTCGCTCATATAACCCTGTCTTCTGGAAGAACCCAAATTATTGAAAAGGTCTTGTTAAAATTCAAAGAATAAGATATAATAAATACAAGTTCCAAAAATGGAATACTAAGACATATTGATCTTTCTTTAGCGCGCCCCCTGCAGTGGTTGTTTGTTTAAATCTGTAAAAATGCTGTTTTTCCTGTTGTAAAGCTGTTTTCCTGAAATTAAAACAATATCCCAGTAAGCACCAAACACTCGACAAACAGTCGGCCTTCGCTCGGCATAGGCGGTTGACCGGCGGTTCGGCTTGCCCCCAGTCGTTCCGCTTATGGCCCGCGTTATGTTAGCCCGGTACCGTTTGGCAGAATACGGCATGCCGCTGCAAAATCGTTCGGCTTGCCCTAGCCGGCCCGCTTACGGCTGGAATACGGCCTGCCGCGGCATAAGCAATACATCTCACGGCTGCTTATGCAAGCGAGCTAACTATAAATAGCGATGGGTTGCAATATTTAGTTGGAAGTGTGCGTCTGTAATGGCATAGCTGAACAACAATTGTTTGAAGTCCCCATCTCCATCATCATCTGCTCAGTAACGAATAATGGCTAGCTATAGTCGAGTGTATTAAACCTAGAGGATATACCTATCCAGGACGTCTGAAGGCTTTTTTTGAATTGCCAGGCTGTTGTGGCCGACACTCGGGCAACTATACACAGCCGACACTCGGCCGAGTAAACATAGCCGACATTCGGCCAGGTGGGCATGCCCGGTCTACACGCCGGAACAAATACATGTGTCGGGCCGCACGCGGCCGATTCGGCAAAACGTATTCGAGCCGTATGCGGGCCGGCTAGCTTGTGCTTACTGGGATCTTTATGATATCTGCAATGAAATTTCTAAATACCAGGTATACAATCTCGAAAAGCCTTTCACAACGCGAGAACCAGGCAAAATGGCACATTCAAGATGGTTAACAACTGCCAAGAGGATCTTAATCCATAACACAATTGAAACATTCGCCATTAAAGTGTATGCAAATTGGATTAAAATTAAAATGCGACCTTCAAGTGGACAAGGTATACCTATACTGCCCTACTATCGAGAAAGGCAGTAACTGCAAAAATATTCAAGATGCGTTTTCTTGTGCTATGGTAAAGCTATGGACATTTACCATTCAAATATCTCATAAGTTAAAAAAATTAATTAAATACCTAGGTACTGCTTTTTATAAAAATGTAGTTTATGCTAATTTTCCACAAATTTTTTGTTAAGCAGTTACTGCCTTTCTCCATAGTAGGGCAGTATATATACTGCCCTACTATGGAGAAAGGCGTTGTCAGTTGTAAAAAATTTTTACTAAAAAATGTTCTTGCATAAAATAAATAAAAACTCAATAAATACAAAAGTTTTAAGCCCTTAAAGCTCTAATACCATTCTGTATTTATTTACTCATCCAGCTATTAACTTAAGCAATGATAAGAAAAATTACCTATTTAAAAACTCCATAAAATTTTTTCATCGGTTTTTTTCTTTCTGTTTACTCAGATGAAATTAGGACAAGTTCACAGGTTAATCGTTAAACATTCAATTTGTGTAAATAAATCCAAACACCCAAAAGCACTTCCCTTAGTTAAGATATTTACAATTTGAGCACATAACCTACAATTTTTTGACAGAATGTGTTACCAACCATAACATAATAAATTAAACCAGATTAACTTAAAGTAAAGTAAATATTACGAATTATGAATAAAGTTTAAATCTGGTGTGTCTAAATTTAAATATATTTTTTATAAGTATGTTTTTAAATCACAATGTTAAAACGATTTTTAAAAAATCATTAGTTTACAAATTTTTACAAGGTCTAATTAGTGATCTAGCGATTTCAGGTTTTTATTTTTTTTCAAGTTTTTTCAGGTTTTTATTCTTTTATAAATATTTTGAAAGTGTGTGAAAGATTTTATGCTATGGCGGGTCGGGCGCTCACAAATATTCAATTAACAAATATGGTTTTGTGTTACGGGGAAGCGATGCAAAATGCTCGTCAAGCAAGAATTTTGTAGGTATATTCAAAATTATCACAACGCCAATGACGGACATCCACCGCCCTCGGAGCAAAGTTTTGTACGTGCTGTGCAAAATTTAAGGGACCGCGGAAGATTTAGCGCATTTGTTGGTGATAGGGGTCGGGCTCAGGGACGATAATTTGTGGCCCTTGAAGAGCAACTTTTGGACCAAGTGGAAGCAAATCCGAAAATTAGTACAAGACGATTAACTGCCCAACTTGGACAAATGTCCAACTTTGTTACGTGGCGCACGATTTACGAAAATTGTTTGTACCCCTATCACACAGAACATATCCCTATCCCTATCACCTACAAAAAGTTCAAGCTCTTCAGAATGGAAATTATGCACTGCGGTTGGAATTTTGCCATTGGTATATACAGAAAAATCAAGAAGATGCTGATTGGAGCCGTAGTGTTTTGTATACCGATGAGGCCATATTTACGAGAGACGGGATTTGGGCAGCAACTCAGGAACTTAATTGTAAATAGTCCAGACATTTTTACGCGGGTGCGCGAAAGCATGCTTTGCAGAGTTTAAGCTTGCATTCTAAATAATGAAATCATTTTGAGCATCTCATATAAGGTAATACATTTTTAATTATACATTTGGCAACACTGCATTAAAAAGTAATAGGTAAGGTTAATCCGCGGTTCCTAGTCGATCAGTGGCGTACTTTTTGGTAGGATAAAGGTTATTATAAATTATTTTTAGTCTTTGGAATTTAGAAAAAAAAAGTTCCAGGTGCTTCTTTATGGACCCTAAGGAACTACCCATTTTAATATATAACATTAATTACATAACACCCTGATAACTATAGTTATCATTTTTTTGGCATAGTAAAGAAAAGTAGATTTTTGTCTAAAGAGCTTAAAAAGGTGGTAGTACAGTAGTACAAAAAGTTTGTTATTGGCAATTGCAAGGCTAGGAAATAAATAAAATAATTGGGCCTTTAAAGTATACTAAAATGCGGATAAGCAAAACATAATGATAACCAAGTTCGTAAATTCCCAATTTTAATGCAGATAATTACTTTGGAAAACTGTGTTAAATCAGTTAGGGGCATCAGCGGCTGTTTGTGGCTATGAAGCAAGAGAAGGATTTATAATATCAAGAATCGCCTCCAGAGTCTTAAAGACAATTAAATATAAAGAAAACACAAAAAGGGGGGTGGGCGGTGGAACTTGATTTCCACGTGGTGAGTTTTGGATTATTTTTATCAAGAAAGCAAGCCCTTGGGTTTTTTTATGAGGATATAAAAGTTATAACCTTTTACTTTGCCCATTTTTTAAAACTAGATGTCAAATTGGCAGCCAAAGGGGGTCCCAGCAAACCAAGTTTTTGCACAATAATTCACATTTACAAGAGGCAATTATTCCATATACAGGCCAACTGATTGGTTGCATTTTTTTTACCATTTTCTCTCCACAATGTACGAAGTACAGGTACCTGATCTCCCTTCAGCCTATCCAAAAAGGTTACACAAACTACAGCAGCTCTTATCCCAGCGTGATGCGTCATTGCAGCGAATGGTACGACTTCCATTTCTATATTTTTTACTCCGTGATTTTGCAATTTTTTCAAATAATCCATTTTATCCTTTTCGCTATAGTTGCAGAAAGCTCCGTCTAATCTACCTTGTCCTACAATTTTTTTTAATATATGATTTTTTAAATTTAAATGCCTAAACACCTTCGTAAAAATCATTGGCACACATAGTGCCTCCTGTAACGACATCGTAAGGGTCTTCTGGGTCTGCTAGAGCTTTCAGTTCCTGGACTAAGCTTTGGTCTAGTATGGCAGGTCTTTTTACCAAATTTCCTACTATTGGCTAAAAATAATAATATTTGACAATAATTATAATTAATAATTATTAAAAGGTATTTACAATTATTATAAAACTGCTTTAGAAAAGCTGAACTGGTAGGTGTTATGAAAGCCCCTTATCTCAGATAAGGGGCTTTCATAATTATGATTATTATAATAAGAGATGATTTTAAAAACTAAATTTAATAAAACTTCTTCTTTCAACTAAAGTGGATTTACAGCTAAACATTTCAGCAAGATCCACCCACCTTTGGACAATGGTTGTCCGACAAATACGTGCACATAAATAAATTCCTCTTTTTCTTTATTAAAGGAACAATCGAGAAATACAGAAATATTACTATTCCGAGAATCTTGCCTTTTCTGGCCTGCAAAGTCGGATATTTTTCACTCAATTCAATAAATTTTTGACTTAAAAAGTAACAAAAAATATTTTTTTTACAAACGAGCAAAAGGTAAAAATTTGCGCTTCCAAAAGAAAGCGCAATATTGCACTTTTCTGAGGATCGAGCATTTTGGTTACCTTTTCGCTAGTGTATCTGCGGCTTTTACCACAAAAGTCAAATCTGACGTTATTAATAATTATTAATTTTTAACAAAGATTTTTATAAAAACACCGGTTGTAGAAAAAGTCCTGTTTGTAATTCGAGCTCAAATTGGAATTGCCGCGCTCTTAATATACAAATAGATATTTTCCACAACCAAGCGGAACTACAAATTTGCGCTTCCAAAAGAAAGCGCAAAGTTGCACTTTTCCGAGGAGCGAGCGTTTTTTTCGCCGATCGACAAAGTTACTTTGTCGCTCGCTTAGTTACCATGGAAACCATAATAAAGAAACGTTTAGTGTATTTGCGACTTTTGACATAAACGTCAAATTTGAGGTTATCAATAATTATGAATTTTTACCAAACATTCTTATAGAAACACGGGTTGTAGAAAAAAACCTGTATGTAATTCGAGCGCAAAGTGATATTGCCGCTCTCGCGAGATAGCCGCGCTCTGCTACGCGTCGCGCGTCAAACTTCTCGCTCAGAGCGGCAATGTATCACTTTGCGCTCTTAATATACATATATACAGCTATTGTATGACTTTTGTGTACAAATTATCAAAAAGCTAAATATACGAAGCTACTTCCTAATTCGCAGTTTTATGATTTCAAAATTTTATTTATGTAAAAATATGCATAAACAAAACGCTTTTTATTACTATTTATTAAGTTTTTTTTTAAGTAATTTACAATACTTCTTGTGATTTTACGAAGAAATTTGTTGTTTATGATATTTTGTCTTACTTAATTAGGTTTTATAAATAATTAATGTATTTTTGAAGTTAATTTTAAAATCCTACAATTTTTATGATAGGATTAAAAATGTAAAAAAAAACTAAAAAATGGCGTAAAAATATCATTGGCATTATTTAAAAACTAATTTTTAGGTGTTTAATTTTAAGCATTTTTAACATATGCGAATGAATAGTTTAGATATACATCAGGGTGAGTCCCGATGATAAATTCATTTTAATTTAATAACACCAATATTCTGCTACCCAAATTAATTAATAACTAGTCCCATCTTGTCCCCGTTTAAAAAATATTCCACTTTTCGTATGTCAGGAAACAAAAGAAATAAAATTTGCTGTTCAGATCTATGGTATTTTATTAATAAGTTTAGTTTAGGTATTATTTTAGATTGTGTTATTGTAATTTGTAAATGTGTGGATTTTATATATATATATATATTTATATGTATATATACAGTGTGTCCCCGGATAGGTGAAACAACTCCTGTAAATTAAAAAAAAAATTGAATTCAATTTTTATTTTCGGGGGTTCAGACCTGCTTGATAAAAGATTAATTTTCAACATAATTCCAATTTTGAAAAATCGAGTATGCCTTGAAATTATTAAAAAAAACTATTTTTGTGTTGGTAAAGTGCCTTTAAAATGGCATATACGACAAAATATTATTAAAAAAAGTTGTTTAGAATTAATATTTATACCAAATTTAAAAATTGTTATCCAACTTAAATTTTTATTTTTTTACTATTTTTTGTGTAGGTTAAGTACCTTTCATATGGAATATACGACAAAATATTGTAAAAAAAGTTGTTTATGTAGAATCATATTTTAGATCTATATACCAAATTTCAAATTTATTGGCCAACTTTGATTTTTATTTTTTTTACTACCTGGATTTTTACAATATTGATGCCCGTTGGCACTTCAAATATTTATTGAAAGGGGGAGGTGACCTTACAAACTCTGTACTTTTACATATATTTGGCTTAGAAGATATTTTAAACACATTTTAAAGGTAAATACTAATTAAAATAATATTGTCCAGCTAGATAGCTCAAATAACACTCTGTGCTATGGTACTAAGTACCATGTCCAGTACCAGTCTTAGTACCATGGGTTTCGTATATCGCATTTGCTCGAAATCATTGTAGGTAGGTAACTGTAATTGTAGGTCTGTAGAATAAACTCATTCACATAATCTATAATGTCAAACGTCAACCCATAAAAAAACCTATGACAAAATGTCAGAAACTGAAGAATTCCAATGTAAGAACAGAATTATTAAACGCATAAAAACAATAGTTTATATATGAGGCCTGTCATAGCAAAACCGACAATCTCCACTTTTGGTCAAAAATTAGATTTTTGGCGGAGACTGTACTTCAACTAATTATCTATAAGATGATAAAGTTTATGTGCCGCAAAAGGAGCTAAATCCTGCCTAAAATCCTATTTTAAAAATGACATTTAGTGCAAAGTCGACAATCTCCACTGATAGATTTGCAGCAAAGTATACAATCTCCAATTCCGCCATTAAAAATTAGTAATTTGTGTCACCTGATATCCTAACATTTGATGTTATAACGTATTTTAGAGATTTAATTTTGTGTTTTTTTACTGGTACATACTGTTAAGTTCTATTGCAGTAAATGGCACTTAAAAATATATTTAAAATAGGTATATTTACGTTTTATTGCTTTAGGAATTCTAAAAAAGTTATCTTGTTTATTTTGTGCCATAATAAGACGTAAAGGTAAAGCAAAAAAAGGCTGATAATGTCAAAACATTGCAAGTAAAACATTAGGGGGCAGAGTGGGAAGAAGATGATGAGTTGTTGTACTATAAAAACTTTTTTGCACGAGACAACCTGGTCCCAGATTTAGAAGAAACTCCAGATTTATGTGGTCCAGTTCAGAATTTTCCCACATTGATTGTATAGTTAAATTTTATACCCATTAAAGGAAGAAAAAAACAATTATTTTTTTGTTCATTTTTCTAAATCTCCTTACACGTTTACAACAAAATGAGCAATCTCCAGCAATTCAAATCAAAGTCAGCAATCTCCAATTTATAATTATAGATTTCACCTATACTATGCATCCTGGAGACCTTGTAGTTGGCTACTAGACCAACAACAACAATATTTCAATATAATATATAAAAAAAATACAAATCTAGAATTTAAAATACCAAAATCAATTATCTCAATTTACTCAGTTTTAGTCTGATGGGAGATTGTTGACTTTGCTCTGACAGGCCTCATATGTTGTATATTAAACAACATGGCGGAGAAAGCATATTAACTATCTCGGTCAGATCTGCAGCGAACACTGAGCTTGGCTATAGTATAAGCGCTTCTTCCTCCTGTTAGATATTACATATGAGTCATTCCAAATAAAAACACCAAATGGGGTGCGCTGCTTGATTTTTTATTTTGATAAAAAAAAATTGAGGATGATCTTTTAGGTATCAAATATGAAAATCTGTTGCCGTTTTAATTTTTGGATTCTTTACTTTAAATCGGCACCCTTTAGAAATCTGAAATCGTGTCAATTTCTTACTCTCTTATAGTGGTCCAGAACTTTTTTTCTGTGACAAATATTGAAATGATTTTAATTTTTTTTTACTGTTCAGTAAGTGTGTTTTTGATATAAATTATTATAATATTATTAGTTAATCTCATAAAAGAATGGTAAACCACTAAAGATTCATGATAATTTGCCAATTTTTGTGATTTTTGTCTGGCTCCTGTGCCTATTCTACTAAATCTAGAAAGTTATTTTTTCCAGGTATCAAGTACTTATACACAAGAAAACGTAACTATTAATTTAAGTTTCTAGACTATCATTTTCTTTATTAAAAAAATTATTGAAACTTGATAATTTTCAAAATTAGCAAATTTTGCCCTCAGAAATCATTATGTTGAGGAAAAAATAAAAATCTGAAACTTTCAGGAAATGTAGTCCCGACCTTCATCTTTTTAGTCTAGTTAGTCTTGTTTTGTTATTTTTATCCATGTAAAAGATATAATAATTTTTTTAATGCAGTTAAGAAGTGATATTGTTAGTTTTATTTATAATTTAAAATTTAGATGGCTGTGGCTCAGTCAATTCATGTTTGGTAAAGAAATGTCAGCACTGTCAAAAATATTTCAAAAATATTATTTGTGCGTATTTCTTTGGTAAATTTTGTATATAACATAATATATCATATTATGTTATATACAAAACTTTTTAAAATCACCAAAGGAATACCACAAATAATAATTATGAAATATTTTTGACAGTTCTGATAGACGTGGTAGTTATGTTATATTTTATGTATTGTATAATCATATATTATATTACGAGAACTATAAATTTAATCGGTTAAACTAGAATCGGTTAAACTAGACTTGGTTTTTGTTGGAAAATGTTGAATGCATAATAATTATTTTGCATGAAACTATTTTCCAAAAAGAAAAATCAAATAAAAAACTTACTGAGCATAGTTTGACAGATTAAATTTATAGGTCGAGTGATATATATATACGTGATATATATACGTATATACGTCTAGATTATTTCTCGAATTAAAGGAAACTATTTGACAATTCATAAAATCTGACGTATGTATCAAAATTTATAAATATTTTTTTAAAGAAAATTCCATTAATTTAAGGTAGGTATGTAATAAGTAATAATTGATATTTCGTAAACTAGATAACTTATTTTTTATTGTTTTTTAAAAAATGTTTGTTAAAACTTGTAAATAACACCATAAAATCGTAAACAAAAATCCAATATGGAGGCTAAAATTTAATCGCTGTTAAATAGTTCTAGTGATTTAATCGCTTATTTGAGGGAAATAATCATATATTATATCACGAGAACTATGAATTTAATCGGTTAAACTAGGCTCAGTAGTTTTTTGTTGGAAAATGTTGAATGCAAAATAATTTAATAAAATCACGAGACCGCGTAGCGGTCGAGGGGTTTTATTTTTAATTATTTTGCATGAAACTATTTTCCAAAAAGAAAAATCAAATAAAAAACTTACTGAGCATAGTTTGACAGATTAAATTTATAGGTTTATAATATATATATATAGTTTTATGATCTGTTTTATAGGTTGAGTGATATACGTCTAGATTATTTCTCGAATTAAAGGAAACTATTTGACAATTCATAAAATCTGACGTATGTGTCAAAATTTATAAATATTTTTTTAAAGAAAATTCCATTAATTTAAGTTATGTAATAAGTAATAATTGATATTTCGTAAACTAGATAGCTTATTTTTTATTGTTTTTTAAAAAATGTTTGTTAAAACTTGTAAATCGTAAACAAAAATCCAATATGGAGGCTAAAATTTAATCGCTGTTTAATAGTTCTTGTGATTTAATCGCTTATTTAAACGAAATTTATTCGAAAATTCAAGGCTTTTCATTGGTTATATATATATATATATATATATATATATATATATATTTAGTGTTTAAAGAAGAAGAATGTAAAAAATATATTCAAGATCCTTATGGTTTATATCGTCAAGTATAATAAGTGAAATTAATAGAGTATAAAAAATGCGTTAAGCAGTTTTTTGTCGGTTTCTTTAACAATTTAAACCAAGTTAGTCTTGTTCTATTATTTAGATCCCTTTATATTAGTAAGGCACTGAATAGTTAAAAGTTATATGTATGTATTTTAAATGTTAGTGTTGGAAAAAAATTTACACAATCTGTAAATACTTCTTTTAGTTTTTAGGTAACTGGTTAAAATAAAACATGTTATAATAAAGGGGTTTATTTAGAATATTTTTTGGTTTTTGCTTATTTTTACAATTTAAAACTTCTCAGAACTTGAATATTTTTTATGATAAAGAGGTACTTACCTACAAAATTATGATATGTTCTTGCATTTTTAATTGCAATTAAATTCATGAATCTCGAACACTCCGTCATTTAGTACACTTGCAAACTTTTTGAAATCACAATTTATATACGCACAAATAATATTTATGAAATATTTTTGACAGTTCTGACATTTCTCTACCAAACATGAATTGACTGATAGCAAAATTTGATTCTAAGAATCTTCTAAGAAGATATGACCCGGAATAATGGAATATTCTTAGAACCTTCCCTTGTTGCTAAGAATGTTCTTAAGGACTTTTAAAACATTCAATAGATAGGTACCCTTTTAATGATGCAATTAGATTCTTAGAAGCTTCTTAAAACCTTCCTAAAAAGCATTCTAAGAACATTTTAAGAATACGTTTTTGGAATGTTAAGAAGGTTTCTTATGGAGCTTCTAGGAAGCTTTTGAGAATATTTCCAAATATGTCAGATACCCACGTTCTAATATGTTGGATTCTACATTCGTAAAATTCTTCAGGAGGCGACAAATACCCCTCACTGTCATAATATGACAGTGAAATGTATTTGTCGTCCCCTTAAAAAATTTTGCGACATATTAATATATATTTATTTAAAAATATTAAATAAACAATTGGAAATCTAAACCATAAGTTGTATGACATTATTTCATAAAAAGTAAAATTGGAAAATTTTGAGGGATAAGTCAGATTAGATTGAAGTTGAAGATAGTTAGGATTATTATACATAAAAATGTTAATTCAGAAATAAAAAATCGGTATACAAATTAATAAATATTTATTTTTAACATAAAATAAAATATAAAAAAAGAAAATAATTCCTTGTAAAATAATTCTTCATAAAAGAAAAAACCAAATAGTTCTTCATAAAAAAAGATTTTTCATTGTATTTAAGTTGGATAGAAGATTTTATGTAAAAGCCGAATAATTTAGATACCTATAGTAAAAGTATTTTTGTTATCGAATATTGTTTTAATTTGATAAATAACTATAAAAAAATATATTGGGTTGTGTTTTTTACTTAGTATTTAATACTAAGTATAGGTACCTTTATACGTACATTATGGTATATTTTACTATTATATAGGTACCTAACTGAACTGAATATGCTTAACAGAATGTTCCAGGAATATTCCTAAATGAACTTTCTATAGCAATTACTTTCTCGACATTCTAAGCATATGTTTAGAGTGGATTAATTTTTACCACTAAACTTTGCACCTTCTAAAAACCTGCCTAAAGGCCAGTGAGAATATTCTTAGGATTGTGCTATATTTCTTTTAAGCATGTTCTTTAGAAGAAATATAGCATGATCCTAAGAATATTCTCACTGGAAGGTTTAAAAAACATTCTCAGAACATTACTAGAAGAAATATAGCATGATCCTAAGAATATTCCCACTGGAAGGTTTAAAAAACTTTCTTAGAATAAACTGTGCTATCAGGATCAATGCCATCTAAATTTTAAATTATATAAATTATAAATAAAACTAACAATATGGCTTCTTAACTGCATTAAAAAAATTATTTCATGGATAAAAATAACTAGATTTTTATTTTTTCCTCAACATAATGATTTCTGAGGGCAAAATTTGCTAATTTTGAAAATTGAAGTATCAATAATTTTTTTAATAAAGAAAATGATAGTCTAGAAACTTAAAATAATAGTTACGTTTTCTATTGTATAAGTACTTGATACCTGAAAAAAGCAACTTTCTAGATTTAGCAGAATACCCAGACAGCACATATATCCATTGGACGTCCAGCGGACGACCATTGTACATCCAAACGTCCAATGTAAGTCCATTTTGTGCTGTATGGGTAGGCACAGGAGCCAGACAAAAATCACAAAAATTGGCAAATTATTACAAATCTTTAGTGGTTTACCATCCTTTTTTGAGATGAACTAATTATAATTATAATTATCTATAGATAATAATAATTAATATTGAAAACATACTTACTATAGGCAGTAAAATAAAATTACAATCATTTCAATAATTGCCACAGAAAAAAAGTTTTAGCCTCTTATAAGAGAGTAAGAAAATGACACGATTTCAGGTTTCTAAAGGGTGCCGATTAAAAATAAAGCAACTTAAAATTAAAAAGGCAAAGGTTTTTCATATATGATGCCTAAAAGATCATTCTCAAATGTTTTCATTAAAATAAAAAATCATGCAGCGCAGTTTTAAATTCATTTTTGGTGTTTTCATTTGGATTGACTCATATTCGCATATTCGGTCACCCCTATTGGTCGGTATACAGGCTGGCAAGAACCTATAGGTTCTTGCCTACCGAACTTTTTACTTTTTGTCATTAAACATCACATATTCTTATTTTTTTTATAATAACTTACCGTTTCATAATAATTATTTAACAGTTCATCACAAGCAGTATCAGAAATAACAACGGTGCCACCTTTAACTCCAACTCCTCCACTAGTTCCTATTCTAAAGAAAATCGGGTTTTTAACTTTAGCATGAAACATTAGCTTAATAATTTCATGTAACAAGATTCCGATGGATGAGATACCCATGCCATGCTAAAAGAATATCTAATAAATATAAAAGGATTTTTGTTTAAAAACAAAAGTACACTTATTGACAAAACTGGCCCCACTTTGTACATACTGTACCGGTATTGACTTAAGTCTATTAAAGTAGCTCCAATGGGTAAGTTAAAGTCGATTTCTTTCATGACGTAATGTGCAAAATTTTCCATGCGTTGTGGGGTTCCCCCCATGCAAACAAACTAAAATGAGGATTTTTACAAACAAATTAAAAATAAATAAATAACCCACTTTAACATCTCCAAACATTTCAACCAAATTGTGGGATTCAGTACCCATTGCTAGATGGTACAAAATGTCTTGGCCCATGAGTTCGATATGGGGGTTTCGTAGACGAACAGCTCCATCTGAATACCTGGAAAATAGTTATATAAAAACAACTGATTTTGGACTTAGGTTATAAATACCCTTGTGGAAATTTTTCTCTGAAACAGTTTTAATAAGTAAAAGTAAGAGTTTTTAAAGTCTTACTTTCTCTTAAAAAGTCTGAATAATACTTATTAAGTCGGAAAAAGTCAGAATAAGACTTATTAAATCGGAAAAAGTCTGAATAAGTCTTAGTAAGTCAGACTAATAGCAAGAGTCTTCTGGGAGAGTTAATAAGACTTTTTAAGACTTAATAAGACTTTTAGCAGAGAAATGGTAGGAACCTAACTACAGCGATTAAAATAAATATCCGGAATTATTCAGAGAGGTTGTATTTGATTATTATAAAATAAAACACAAAGAAAAGTATTTATTAACATTTTGCCGTGGTGGTAATAAGCCAAGTTTATTGCATAATTACCTATACCTATTACCTATATACAGTGATGTAATGTATCGAGATACATGTATCTAGATACTGTATCTAGATACATTTTATGTACCTAGATACGTATCGAGATACTTAAAAAAATCAGGATCTACTTTAGTATCTAGATCCTTTTGAAAGTATCTAGATCCTTAGATACAAGATACATTTTATTTTACCCATTTTATTTTACCCATTTTTCTTCGTCCTGATAATTTTGAATTTGTACTACAAATTTTGTAGTAAGCTTTCATATATATATGGCACGTAAATATAAAATTTATTTTTGTTTTTCATGGATATTTCGTCAATTTTATCAAACCAGTTTTATTTTATAGTTAACACGCTTGTTTATAAGGTCCAAAAAATTTTTTTTTGTCATTTAATTTTTAAGTTTTTTTAACATAGTATCTGGAAGTAACTTAGATACTTTTTGAATGTATCTGTACCCAGATACTTTTGGGAAAATGTATCGGTATCTGTACCCAGATACATCTACCAGAGAGTATCTGTATCGGTACCTAGATACTGAAAAAAATGTATTGGTTACATCACTGCCTATATATTACCTATTACCTATAAATCATCCTGTTCTGGCCTAAACATTATAAATGCTTCACAACCTAGAGATACCACACTTATACCACAATTATATTTGCAACAAACTATTTCAGAAGTCAGACCAAGGAATTAGTAGATACCTTCAGAATCCAGAAAAGGGATGAGGAATCCGAGAAAGAAATAAATGAATTATATGATATTTACAAAAACGAAATTACCTAAAACAGCAATTTATCTTTAAACAATATTTAACAATGTATGTTATTTGATGTAAAGTTGTTATGTTTATATAAAATTTGTATGTCCAATAACTATGGTCCATGTTCAATTACTATATAAAATGTCCAATTACTATACTTTTTTGCATGTTTATATAAAACTAATATTAAAAATTCAAATATTCTTATTTTTAAGTAAACGTAAATAAAGTTTAAACAAATACACTATCCTTTTTATATATGTATTTATAAGAAAAAAACTAAAAACAACGGCATATATAAATTTTAAATAAATAATATTCCTTAAGTGTCCAATAACTATGTGGTTTACCCTATATACTTTTCTTAAAAATGGTACCTAATATTTTAAAAAAATATTCTTTTATTACGATTTTTATTTATTTTTATTTATAAACAGATCGGACTTCAGGCTTTTAAGGCGAACGTGTTTTTACAAGTAAAATAGCGTTATTTCGTCTTAGGTTATTTTTGAATTGTATTTTTCTAAATAAAGATACGCATGTTGTTTTTCTTAGTGCAAATAACAAAAAAGTTGAAACTGAACCGACTTAAGTATCTTTTTAACTTGTACGCGGCAAAACAGCACCGTTATGGGGGCTGGTGGATTTTGGGCACACCCATATCTCAGTTATTAGACATGGGGCCCACATCAAATTTATATGAGTTTATAATGACATTATATGGACAAGTTCTGCGCAAGCAGAATTTAAATTGAAGTTTGCGAAAAAAAGTTAGTTTTTAAGTGTGCCCCCCAGCCTCCTGCTCCCCCAAATTAAGATAATTCAAATTAAAGTGGTACATTATTTAATTCACTACAGTTTATCGACAAAGTTCAAATGTTATAAAAAAAATTTTCAAGAATTACAGGTTTTATACCATTTTAAATTTTTATTATTTCTTAAACTAAATTAAAAAAAAATAGAAATGGTATAAAATCTGTAATACTTGAATTTTTTTAATAAAATTTAAAATTTATCGATAAACTTCAGTGAATTAAATATTGTACCACTTTAATTTGAATTATCTTAATTTGGGGGTGCAGGAGGCTGGGAGGGCACACTTAAAATTTAACTTTTTTTCGCAAACTTCAAGTTGAATTCTGCTTGTGCAGAACTTGTCTATATAATGTCATTACAAACTCATATAAATTTGATGTGGGTCCCATGTCTAATAACTGAGATATGGGTGTGCCCAAAATCCACCAGCCGCCACTGGGTATGATATATATATTAGGGTGGCCCAAAAAAAAAAGAATATTTTTTTTCTTCTCGTCTCTTGTAAAAATATGTTAGTTTATAATGCTGTAAGAGCCCTTTCAAAATATCAGCTCGATTAAAAATTTTGTAGGGGTCGCTCAAGATTTTTAAAAATTTTCAAAATCGTCAAAAATTGAATTTTTCTTTTATTTTAATTCTTTTTCTCGTCTCGATATTATTTTTAGGTTGAAAATAATAAAAATTCTGTAAATTTCAAATCAATATTTTTATTTCTAAAGGTCGCTAAAAGTTCGTTGATATTTATATTCAGAGGTCGCTCGAAAACATTCAAAATACTCTACTTTGAAAGTTAAAATAATCTTGAGCGACCTTTAGAAATTAAAATATCGATTTGAAATTTTCAGAATCATTATTATTTTTAAATTAAAAAATAATATCGAAACAGGAACAAAAATTAAAATAAAAAAAAAATTCAATTTTTGACGATTTTGGTAATTTTTAAAAATCTTGAGCGACCCCTAAAAAATTTTTAATGGTGCTGATCTTTTGACAGGGCTCTTAAAACATGACAAACCAACATATTTTCACAAGAGACGAGAAGAAAAAAAATATTCTTTTTTTTTGGGCCACCCTAATATATATATATATATATATATATATATATATATATATATATATATATATATATATATACATTAGGGTGTGCCAAAAAAACTCGATATTTTTTTTTTCTTGCTCTCCACCCAAAATATCGTAGAATATGTCCAAACAAATATTCTGTTAAAAGCGGAGCTCATAATTTCAATTTTAAGAGGTCCCTCATCGAATCTGAAGTTTTGCCGCTTAAATAACACAGAAAACTGACTTTTTTACCTTATTTATTCTTGCAACCTAGGAAGAATTTTTTTTTTCATAAAATCCATGACTAATTCTTACAAAGCATTAAATTTGGACAAAAAAATCTTATTAAGCCGAATTTCTATTTTCATTATTTGATTTTTTCCAGAGCTTTAAATTTAAAGTTAATAATACAAAAATGTTGACTTTATACGCCTGTAACTTTTAGAATATTGACGATACAAAAAATTGGCCTAAAACTTTTTTGTGGTCCATCAGACAAGATAAAAAATTGCCATTTAACTTTTTCGTCTAACTTCAATAGTTTAGCTGAAAAAGGCAAAAAACGTAAAATTTTAAATTTAAAGCTCTGTAAAAAATCAAAAAATAAAAATAGAAATTCGGCTTGATAAGATTTTTTCGTCCAAATTTAATGCTTTGTAAGATTTGGCCATGGATTTTATAAAAAATAAATTTCTTCCTAGGTTGCAAGAATAAATAAGGTAAAAAAGACAGTTTTCTGTGTTATTTAAGCGGCAAAACTTCAGATTCGATGAGGGACCTCTTAAAATTGAAATTATGAGCTCCGCTTTTAACAGAATATTTGTTTGGACATATTCTACGATATTTTGGGTGGAGAGCAAGAAAAAAAAAATATCGAGTTTTTTTGGCACACCCTAATATACATGCACGGCTATCAATACGAAGCCCGGTGCATTACACTGGCTAGTCGAAGCCCGGTAATGCGGGACGGGGCGGTTAACTGTTCGTTGGTGCATAAACAACAAGAAACACACTCCGCGGTGTATCAGAAGCCCTGCGGTGTTGCCTCTGTCAAGAAGTGTTTTTTTAATTAAATTGTTTGAGTGTGAGATCTATTTTATAAGTTAGGAAAGTGTTCTTTTTATTTCAATGTCTAAATTTACAATTATAGGCAAATTTGATTTAAAATACCTAGACGATACTTAAACTTAACAATATTCTTAAATAATGACGTAGGTTTACTTCAATATTTAATAATATTGTTGAATTATAATTATTATAATAATAATTATCGTTAAATTATAATTATTTATATTATAATAATTTAAAACTATTGTTGAATTTAGGTACCTATATAAACATTTCATTTATTTTGTTTATACATCATAATTTTGAAAAGGTTTAAATATCTTATACAGGGTGCTCTACAAGCTCTATGGCAAACTTTGTCAGATGATAGCTGGGTTAATTATAAACATTTTTTCTTAAATGACATGGATGCGATTCGTTTTTGTTTAAAAGTTAAGCCTTTAAAAAATATATTTCCATATGTTAATAAACAATATACAAATATATCAATAATTATAATTATTATAAGAATTATTGTTGAGGTTAGGTAATTTTGTGTAAAACTTAAATGGGAATCAAAACAAGTAAAACTGACTGAATATTTTTTTCATGAATTATAAAGACATCTATTTTTTTTAAATTATTAGATTTAAATACACCAAAAATTCTAAAAAATCTAAATAATGAAGTATACTTTAATACACTGCCTGTTAGGTATATGGACAGTGAAATAAAAGATATTATAATTTAACTTTTAAATATTTAATTGTCTTCAGTCTAAGACAACTCGGAAAGCAAGCGTAGAGGAGACTAAAACTAAAAGTGATACAAAATATTATTAGAGCACACACGCCCTATTTCATTCTTACATAAACAT